GTGTGTTTGTAGAAGCATTGTACTGCTTTGTTTAATGCATGTAATTCATTCCATCACTATTCAACCCGTTCAGGGGTTGTTGACGCTTTGTGAAAGAGAACCTGGGTAAACGTTGCCACATAGGGAAAGTTACAGGGGTATGTCTGTGTCTCTGCAGACTATCCGCGAAGATGCAAATTACTTAATTGAGAGACAAAAAAGCATAGCAATATCACGCCCCCGCCCCCTGCACTAGATGACAATACCCGTTTGCAGTCCAGTAATGAAGACATCTTGTGCCACAATAGCACATCTAGTTATTGGGGTCCCTTTGGCTATGTGATGAAAGGCACTTTGAGTTTCTAGGGCATTTAAACACCCGATGGTGATGCAGAGGTCGTGGAGAAAACCGACTCTCAGTTTCCTCCCAAATGTTAATATCCTCCTCAAAGAAGGAACGAGGCCAATATCCCAATGAAAGGTCATCCTGAAAAAAGAAATTACTTAAAAAAATTGCGCCATGGCCCATCACAAAGTGGCGTGGAACGAATGTTTTCACAATTGCGTCCCTCCCATAGCTCTCCGGTGTGTTTTCAATTTTGTGCCGCATGTATCGCTGGGTTACGATGTCCGACGTTTCACTCCGTGCGGGCTCCCGACGAAGCTCACAGCACGAATAGCGAAACGTGCGGTACAATCCGAAAAACACGTGGGAGCAAATTCACGGACGTCATCTTTGCAGCAGGCATTGCTAATCCTCCCCACGGGAATGAGTGGGCAGCTGCCGGAATGGAAATTGTCAACGCCATGCAAACCGGTTCGGTGGCTATATCAAGGACAATCGTTCGTCTAACCAGCCACCTCTTCATTTGTTGACCAATCAATGGACATTGAGGTGACCGTAGTGTCAAGTAGCAAATGCATGGCCCTTGCTCAAGCTGGGGTACACACAGGCAGTTTTGCTATACCCTCTCTGGCTGTTTCAATGTAGACAGTACTCCTTTGTCGTTGGGAGCAGATGTGTTTTGACAGCGGGCCACCGCTTCCGAACTTTAGATAAAGGGGACTACAGCTACGGTCCCCGTGTTGTGACGTTTCTGTGCGCAACTTACCGCCCCAGGCTTTGTTTTAGTTACTCGCGTGCATTTCGTTGGATACTAAGCACAGAGGGCAAGGACAACACGCCTCGAAGCCATCGTTTTCAGTGGTTGTGTGCCGGAGACGAAGTTGCCGTGGCGTCAGATTTAACAAGCCCGCCAGCAGCCACTAGAGGCACTGCCGTTCACTGCTATCGTGAACAAAAACAAAAACATAAACCCCGAGAAGGAATTGTCGGGTGTGGAATTGTTAAGTCCGAATTCCACGGGAGAAGAATTCACTTCCAACTAGCCCTGGTTGTATTGTGCAGTGTCAGTGAGCGTCCTGTACTCGTTGGGATAAACAGAAAAATCAAGGGAGACACCGGACCTGGAGAGTGGCAACATGTCACGTTGCTTTATTTCGTGCCATCAACACAGCGGGTCAGCAGCGCCAGGTTAGGAGTTAAAATCGCTGAACCTTGGAATCCGAATTTAGTGAGTGACCTCTGAGCAACATGGACGCTTGCAATCTTCACGTTGTTTTTTTTAAATCTCTCCCTCCCTCTCTCTCTCCCTTGTAAAAATGTAACAGCGATGCCACGCAATTGCTAATTCACTTGTGTTCCGATCGCTCTGAAAATATGCAAGCGGAAAGATGTGGCATTCCGCACACCATGTCAGCGATTCATTGGTGTGAAACCAAAACCTATCTCCCCACATGACCGGGTACTTTAGAAAAATATGCCATCTGGCTTGGCAAAGGTGCAGCCCTGCAATTGCTACCTCGCGCCACTGCAGGTGGAAGGACCTCCCAAAATGATGCAGCTCAAGAGATCCCTTCTAGATGGTGTTTTGGCCTACTCCTCCACACTGGACAGATGTCTTGGAAGACGTGGGAGTACCCTCCCTTGACCACACCACACGTGACTTGCCAACTGGTCGACTGCTTAGACTTCATTAAAAAAACAAATGTGCTACCTGCAATCACACGTTAAATAACCCCTCCATTCACAAAAACAAGTTTAGTATGCCATTGTTAAAGCCTAACTACTCATCCGTAATGAGTAACACATCACTTGTAAACGGTAACTGTATAAACACGTGCGTTCACGGATTACCTGGTTTGCCATTTGGAATGAAAAACTGAGAATTGCGCAAAAGTAACATGGGCAGATGCGTGCTTGGAAAGACATGAGGAACCAACGAATTCGAGAACACGTAGTTCAATGACATCATACAAACTGTGGGTAAGTGGGCTTGGGCATAACACCGTTAAAGCCAACGAAGTGGCTTATCATGTGGAAATTTAGAGCAGCCAAATACTCGAAATGCATGTTGATTTTAAATGTGGATGGAAAAACCGGAGGACCCAGAGAAACATCCACACAACAGACATGAAGGTTGGGATTGAACCCACGACCTCCTGCACAACAGGCGAGGTAGCTGACAATCTCGCCGCCGTGGCGCCCCCGTTTGCGAAAGGAGATGACGACCGACGGTCGATGGTGATAACGTTGTGGCAGCCAAGGGGTGGAACATGTTCGAGATGTCGCCCGGCGAGGAGATGAAGCGATGAAATTACCTCGTGTGTGGGTGCCAGCTGAATTATTCCATCGCGGGACTGTGAGGGGTGACAGCAGCATAGGAGAGCCTTCGCCGAGCAGGGCATCTGCCCGCGACTGGAACGACGATGGTTTGCAATTTTGTGACGAGTGCGAAGATGAGGACGTGTATACTGTATATTCGTCGTCGTGTCTCTCGTTCTCCAGGTGTGATGCTGGGTCTGAGCATGTCCATCCATTCGCTCGTCCGAACGGTGTCCCCGACCATTGGTGGGTTTCTCTACGCGTCCTTTGGCTTCCCCGTGTTTGGGTGGCTTCAGTTCGTGGTCAACCTGGCGCTATTCGTCAGCCTGCACATATATATACGGTCCAAATCAAAGGCGGCGGCTATTTTTACTTCGAAGCAGTAAATAGGGAGGACTTCATCCAGCGGTGGATTGACTGGGACCAATGATGGCGATGCTGATGACGGAGTAATGAAGGGCCAAAAGAAATTCGACTCAAATGAAAGTTGAAAACATATTTTAAAGTGCGCGTTCAAGCCCGGGTGGTTTGATGCGCAACGTTTCCTCAGTTTTATTTTCATACCGCACGCATTCATCTAAACTTGGCCGTGACAACCGCACGCGATGAACGTTTCTCTCTCAGCGCCTCGGGACTGCGACTGTTCGTGCACAACCGTAGCATGGTGGGCGGCCGTAACGTCAGCTCGCTTGCGTAGCCGCCTTTCCAAGCCAGATTTGTTTTTGCATTACTGCTACTACAAATATAAACTGCGCTGTTGTACATCACACGCCCGGTGTTGTTTTTTTGGCGAGTTGAAATCAAACATAAACACGGAATTTTTACTTCGTAGGCGATAACCGGCGTCCATGGGCATAACTAAATGAAAGTGATAAAACCACAAAAACGAAAAGCAAGCACGAACGATTTAAAAAAAAACAAGCTGCGATAATTTTTCATCCTTCAAAGACTGCTCCCTTTTTTCTGCCCCAGTTTTCCTCGGCAGCCTGCGATTTTTCACACGTGAAGCCGAAATGCTTAACATCCTTCCTGAATGACGGCACGCTTGCTCCTACGACATTTGCCTATGCAGTACACAACACACGTGCAGCAGTCTGGGGAGCATTTTTTTTTTAAACTACTACTTCAGTGCAAGAAAGTTTCCCATTGATAAACAGCTTCAAGTTTTCACTCTTGCGAGTTTTTGTTTGGCTGTGGGGTGTAGTCCAGGAATGCATGCCAAAAGCAGCACTTGTGTCTGCCTCGTTTACCGCCAACTCAAGCAAGAGTCTGGCAGAGAGTGTTTGATGTGCGCACTTTGTGGCAAAATGCGGTCAGCATCTTGAGCATCAATGACAACTGGAAAAAAAAGTCCAAGCGTTCCAAAAAACTGTTTTTATTTTCATCATTGGGATTTCCATTCGGGATTTAAGAACACGTGGTGCATCAAATTGCCGGGTTTACAGCTGCGCCATTCAGAATCACGCAGCATTCTTAATTGCACTACTAGCCGCAGCCGTGTGAAAAATTTGGAGACGATCCCAGGCATAAATTATAGTGCTCCAGTGGGCGTTCTTGTAAGGTGTGATGTGGGGCAATTGTGCAGGCGGCTGTACGAAACGTACTGCAGCACTTGCCTATGCGATAAGTGTCAGCACGACCGCGATCCCCAGGATTAAGTCCTAATGCTTCGGTGGGTGTTCTTGTCGAGACACGTTGTGTGCGGCGATCATTAGAGGCTACATTAAACACCGCAGTGCTTTTGCCTGCCTGAGTCATGCAAATCAATGCAAATGCTCAATTGGGTTGCAGCGGTGACGCGGTGTTTATCCCACTGCACCGTGAACCCGAGTTTGATTCGCAACCACGGCTAACGTCAGTGGCGAGTGATTGTCAGAACCGGTCCGAGCGGATACCCTACGCGGTGACCATCGTGGTGAATTTTGCGATGAACGCTTCATCCAGCAGTCGATTGATCCAGGCCTATAAGTTTAACACGAAGGTTTTCGCGGCCAATATTATCCATGATAACGGTTTTTTTCTCAGTTTGATCACGTAAATATAAATGTCTCGTTAAATCGCCATCACCTGACACAGCCAATTAGTAAAGTTTGTTACGTCAACAAAACGTAACAATAAATGTTGAAAAAAAATTATGTGAGTTTACTCTCGAATACACCGCTGTGCTGAACTATTAACTAATTGGAAGTTTTGTTTACTTGACAAATCTTGCTAATTGGCTGTTGGGTGGAGGCGGGTTTAACTTCATTCATATTTACGTGATCTAACCTTTATTAGTGCTATAAATTTTAATTTAATATAATTGCTGTATCACAATGCTTTAATAAACCATGAAGTTGGACACTTAAAACAGGGATTGTATGTTATTTTTTATTGATGTAAATAATATTAACAGTGGAGCAATGCAGACACAAGAGCTCTCAACAACCAACAATCGGTTTGATCCACACAACACTGCCCATTCACTAGGTGCAAGTTCTAATGGACAGGAAAGAAGAATCATCAACAACAATAACAACAACAAAAGAAGAAGCATGAATCACATCTCCACTTAAAACGTGGTGAATCACAAACGTACAATATAATTATACACTACAGCAGGTAACACTGTTTCTCTTTCTTCCTCCCCCCCCGACAACTCCTCCTCCTCCGGACGACGACGACGATGACATTCCTCGGCATGAAGATTCGCGCGCAGATCCCAATCGGCAAAAGTCCCGTCATCTCTTCCCCGACTGCGAGGGAGCCCGTCGCCATGCCACGTCAAGCAAAAAAAATTGCCGTTTCTTGTCCAACTACTTGGGGGGGGTGGTGGTGGGGGGGGATGGGCCCGCTCCCGGGCATTTGCATGGCAGGCAGATTAGCAACCACACGCGACTGACACGTGCCCGCTCTCGCGCCGTCGCCGATACACGCGCGGGAGGTGCGGTGTGAGCGCGTTGCGCCGTGTGCACGCATGCGGCGCGGTACCGTAGCAACTTGTTCGGGAACTGCGGGCTATCTACAAAAAAAAGCTGGCTGCGAAAGATCGGCAAAAAGGAGGGGAGGGTCGCTGCTTTGTGCTTGGCAGAGGTGGGGGTAGGGGAAGCCGGTGACTCGCTTCCAATCTGCTTGCAGCCTGGAAAAGAAAAAGGGGTGGACGAGTGAGATATAAATATATGAAAGTATCGGGAATTTAAACAATGAAGAGCGGTGCAAAGCTCTTCTGAATTCAAACGTTCGCGTACGCAGATTTCCCAATTACCGGCAAACATTACACGTCGGAGGATAAGCACGACTACCCTGTGATTAAACAAATTATCTGCCTTTTTGGTTTTTCAACGCGGCCACATTGGCCGTGGCTAATTTTAGGGTTGAGATGTCTGTGCACATGGAAACTGGGTTACTTCCTCCCCCAGTGCAAACGCGCAAAGAGTTGTTGAATTAACGATGGGTTAAGCATCACGAACAGCTGTTATTGCTCTCGGCAAACGTGTTGCCGTTTTCCAGTATTATAAACGCCGCATTGAAGCGTCCGAAACATCACTGCACCACGTTAAAGACATCGTTCAAGGCGTTAATGAATAGCAGCGAGTCGTTGGCTTCGGCAGGAGACGGCGCTAGAAGGGATGCTGCCCGATGGTCAAGAGTCGCAGCCAAGGAGAGGACATCCACCTCATATGCTGGCCATCTGTGAAAACGAGCTTCATAGCTCATCGGATTTCTCCAGCTTAAATCTTCTGATTCTGGATGATTACATCGCAGGGTCATGAGAGATGGCGACGGTTTTGAGAGACCGTAAATCCAGCGGGCGGACTGATCGTGGCCGAAGACGACGGTGAGCATTGCACCGGATGAATTTGCCTGGGCTCAGCAAAGTGTGTACGTGAATGATGGCGCTCTCTCTCTCGCAATTGCTGTGCATCTCCGAGAAACCCTGCCTGCGTTCAAACACGCGAAGCCAGGAAACCGAAAAGCAATGCAGAATCTAAACCTATGCTCTCAATCAGCGCAACAGACAGCAATACAAAAAAAAATCGGCCAGTCCTGAAGAGCTTTCGCACAGCTTTTACGCAATGCATTTTCATTAAATGTGTTTTTTTTGCGTTTGTAAGAATTCAGTTTCGCTGGCTTTGGAAGGTCAAAACAGCAGCTATGTCTAAATGCACCCGATCTTGACACTCACAGCCCCGCCCAGTAGCACCACTTGGCAAATGGCATTTCGGTTGCCATGGCAGCCAAATGTTATATCCTGGCAGCTTGTGTGTTATTGGCCGAGCTGTGGGTGGGTGTGAAGTCGTGGTGGTGGTGTTGGAGTGTGTGCGTGTGTGCGTGCATCTTTCACTGGTGCTCCTGGGTGTCTCGGAGTGCCTGTGTGGCTCACAAAAGACGGGGAGCTACAAGACCTCAAGCAACACGGAAAATCCCACCCACAGATCCAGCCAAATCCATTGGGCGCCGTGGTGGCGAGATGTTAAATACCTCGCCTGGAATACAGGAGGTCGTGGGTTCCATCTTACCCCTGATGCCTGTATATTTGGAGTATGCATGTTCTCCCCGTGGTCACGTGGATTTTTTTCCGGGTGCTCCAGGTTTGCCCTCCACGTTTAGAATCAACGCACGATAAGACATTTCATTGGGCTATCATTTGTGGCCAGGTCACTTCGAAAAAAAGAGCTATATCTCGCTCAGTGGGCCATACCTGGTAAAATAAATATGTAGTTTTGTTTTTAGTTCAACGCAGGCGCATGCACAGCGTACTACTTTCATTTGCTAAATGTGTGTAGCATGGAGCACAATTTACCGCAGTTACAAATGTGCATTGCCACCGGCGTTGGCACCGCTGAGGTACAAACAAACAGGACGTGCCTTGGGAATGGTGAATACTGTATCCTACAATATTAGTCTGTAAGCCAGAACCCGATATTTCAACTGTAGGTACCACCAGAGGTGCCATCACTTTAGCGGTTCAAATTAATTTACGTGGACAATAACAGTGGATTATGTGATAACCACTTGAAATGAGTGGGTTATGGGAAAAAAATATATATTGGCCGTATAAATACATCGGTGGTGTTAAGGTTGTAGCGATGTCTGCTCTAGCCGACTGTTTGATATCAGAGGAGGGCAGAATTGTAAATAGATGCATTGTCTGGAGTGGTGTATTATTACTCAACTGACACAAAAAAAAACGGGATTATTAATATCCCGGGAAAAAAAACGTGCCTTAAAATGTGCTATATATAGTCTTGGTTCTTTCGGTAAAGTCACGTAGAAGGGAAACAATATAATAATAAAAATATAAAACAATAAAATTATCACGACGTTTCGACTGCAACACAAGCAATCATCATCAGGTGTGGTTTCAATCATCATCAGGGCTGCAACCGTTACCTTTTAATTTTTACCGTCGATATCATAACGTACCATTTTCCTTACAAGTCAAAACACGCACGTGCAAATGTGGCCGTGCGTGCAAAAGCCATCAGTTAAACGTGCAATTTGTTTAAAAAATAAATCGGGAACACGCGCGAATCGCACTGCCATACGTCCTGTAACCACCACGCAATTTTGTGACAAACGAGAATCGTGATTGCCGCCGTTGGGGAAGATAATTGTGTCCGCCTCTGCCGAACGCATTACTTGGGCTCAGATTCGGGCATTATGAAAATAAATCTGCCCCGCGGGAAATTGGGTATGTTTTAAAAGCACCGAGAGCCAATACCGTCCATTAATCAAACGGAGCGTGAACACTTGAGGGCAGAGACTCGTGAGGAGCTGATGTAAAGCCCACCGGCATGCACCTACGGGATTATATTGAATTGCATTTGCGTCACCAGGCATGCTTCCGAGTGAAATGCAGACCCGTGTGTCGACGCAGGGACGTGTTTCATTTCATTACGGCCTAATAGGTAGGGGGAGTGCTCACATTCCAAAATTATTGGGACCATTCCAAGCTATTAGCTTTTTTTTTAGTACCGCGCTTATTTCACCAGATCGGAAACTGTCGTATGCATATACAATGGCAAAGATCTACAGTATAGCCTTAACAGACAGTTGGGGCAAGCGCTGTTAGCGAGCACCTATGAAGACCGCCACGGCACAGGGGGAGGTGGGTGGCCTGCGCCACGCCCGATCGCCTTTGTCTCCCCAGTGGCGATGTTTACACATCGCACCAGATACTCATTTGTGGCCAAGTCGACCTCGGAGAGGCCCTGCACCGGTTCATAAAATCGTCACTGGTGCTGGCCGTGGGCGGGAATCGAACTTGGGTCACCAGGTTCGCAGCGCAGCGCGCTAAACCGTTGCGCCACCGCTCCCCGTGTACACACGCGCGCACTCGCATGCGCACACACACTGAAGAATACACGTAGGGCATAGAATGAATAATTTACAACACGAACCTACTGTGGTGATTCAACTGTGTTGTTCTATGAGAGAATCATTTCCACGGGAAAAAAGTATTGTGGTCCTCCGACAAATCACAATCGCCTTCCTATGACTGGGTAGAGTACACAATTGCCCGTGCTGTACTCGCATTTGAATCGCACACAATTATTGCACCTTGTGTTTTCTAACGGGGGGGGAGGGGGGCTATGAAACTGTAAAATAATAATAAACTCCGGTACTGTACCCGATAGTGTGATCAAGCTAAGCACAATGCATTAATGGCGCATTAGATGAATAATTTAGTCTTAAATCATGCACCGCTGTGCGCCGACCTCTTACGAGCTCACACACGAAACGAGCCACTGTATCTGGACGCGTCACGTAGACATTCGTGTTTCCCGAGTGTGTGTGTGTGCGTGCACCCGATTGTGGTTCGTCAATGCCCGAAAGGCATCGACACAGACACACTTGTGTACACGCGTAATACGACTGGCAAGACATTACAGCAGGAATTGACGCGGTACCCGTAGCAGGGCGTGCATTTACATTTCGGAAGCCACAATCCACACCCCCCCCCCCCAAAAAAAAAAAGGACCCCTCATATCCCTGCTCGGGACACTTTCGTAAGAGGCACCGTTGTTTCATCGGCTGCCGCCTCGCGGTGCTTAGATCTTCACACGGGTTGATGGAAGTCGGTGGAAATTCATTCAGTTCGCACGAGGCTGGCACTTGTGCCGATTCATATGGAAAAAAGCAAGCGTTTGTTTCGGTCCCCCCCTCACCCCGCCACCGTTAAACAAAAGACGTCAACCCTAAAAAAGCTTTGGGTGCGTAATTCCATATGCACTTCGTGAGCAGGTGAGTGAAACCCCCCCCCCTCTATTGAGACACCGTGCCCTCTTTTCGAAGCGAGACCTTGGCAAAAGTACAATCGGCCGCGGGACATTAAGGGAAGGGGTGCGTTCAAAAGTAATGCCCGCGCGAGCACAAAAGGGACAAGCCGGACAATGCCGCGGCAGAGCATTGAACGGGAAGGCTTCGAATTACACTCGCTGGTTTCAAGTGAGGGCCTCTTTAAATTGGGCCAGAGCTTTGGACGGTCCTTTCTACCGGGGGAGGAATGGAAATTCATCAAAGTGGCAGGACCAGTGCATATGCACCGAGCACGCCGCCTTGACCTGCATATGTTTGAGTTGCAAACGAATGCCACGGGGTTTATTCGCGTATTCATTTCAACACTGCCATAATTGCTTTGTGGTGGAGCGGTAGTGCGGTGGTGAACGCACGACGCTATGAACATGGCCACTCGAGTTCGATTCCGGGCCACGGCTAACATAAGACCCTCGATCCCCTAGCCACTTGGGCTCACTCGCACTGACCAGCGTGGTAAAGTATGATCAAACAACCCCCACGAGGCCTTCATGCAGCAGTGGATTGCTCATTCTCTCGCTGTTTGGACCGTGAACAGTACCAGAATAATAACGGTCCATACAAAAACAGCAGCTAGGTTTGAGTTGGCGTTAAGATTTCATGAAAAAGGGGACTAAAAACAGAATACTGTGCCTGTAAAATCTGTCAACACTGAAAAAAGGCGATCCAGCCAACACGTGTTTCCCCTCATCCGTGCTTCATCCTGCATATATGATTTAGTGTCACAGCTTAAGCGCACTCACAGCACAGAGCCAGTATTTATCTGCTGCTGGATGAAAGCCAGCTGTGGATATCTCCCAAAGCCAAAGTTATTCACTGCCCACACACCACATCCCTTAGGATAATGTTTAAATATAAGCGCTGAGCAATGGCCAGACAAAACAGACTGCCCGTGACTTGTTCATCCTTAACCCTGAAACTACAAATTAACTGCAACTACAATTAAGTATCAGCCATGATTAATTCACTGTTGGCTATAATAAATGTCCACAAAAGCCACTGAGCTATCATTTGTGGCCAGGTCGATTCTGAAATATAAACAGATTTTACCTGGTGAAACAAAATAGTTTAGTTTTACGTGTATTTTAATTTTGTGTGTGATCTGCTTACCTTTCCTATACTTTGCACTCCTATCGTGTTTTTGTACCGTTTGTTGTTGTAACGTTCTGACCCGCCTCTACTGGACATCCGTGAAAAAGAGCTTTATAGCTCATCAGATTCCTCCAGCATAAATAAATATTCTGATTCTGGATGAATGCCTTCCCAAGTCGTTGCCATCTATTGCAGTTCTGTGGCTCACCTAGTACCAACACGTGAGTGGATTTCATCGCTCCATCTCCACCGCTCGATGCCCTCTGGGACGCGTTCCATTCCTTGGCTGCCGCTCCATCACTATTCTCGACCATCGGTCATCATCCCTTCTAAGCGGTGTTGTCCTATTGCAAGTGCACTTACTTTTCTAAACAGTTGTAATTGTCTTAAATCTGGTAACGTTCTCTAATCTAATCCACGTCTTTATTTGCTGTGTCTCTCAATGCAATTCCAAGAGAACTAACAAGATAGACCGTCATGTGACTTATTAAATGAATACTACAGCACGCAAAGCCGATGCATGTAGATGAGTGCCTGATGTTAATGATACCTTACTGCAAGGGCTAGAAAGCTGACAATTGGCACGAATGCAGTTCAGTCTTTGATTACAAGTAACCTAATACTAAAACCCAATGTCACATCTGGGCCTCCAAAAAAATGACAGGGGCGAGCTTGGCAGATAACCCATAAGACCGAGGCAGCCTGAAGTTCCTTTAAGTTTAGTGTTCCTTAAAAAAAGTTTCCGATATCACTCGTCAGCGAACCATGTCATCATCCACCGTCAGCCATGTCCAATCCACTGCTGGGTGAAGGCCTCTCAAAGCCGCCGTCACCTCTCCTCGATCCTGCCATGTCAATAGTCGACCTCACATCTGCGCGTCAAATCATTTAATTCGCTCCACCTCTTCAGGGCGTACACTCCCAGACACCTTCAATAGGACTCCACTATTGCCCCCCTCCCGTGAAGGGCGACGCTGCAGTCGATGGGTCATTTGGGATCGCGGCTACACATTCTACCAAGTGGCCGGGGAAGATGGCAGACCGTCAATGTATTCTTGAATCCACCTCGACCGAGTTTTTGAACGTCACCCGCACATGTGCGTGGTGACTCTTCTCCGCGGGGAGCTGCAGTTTCCTTCCACGTGCCAAACACACAGATTGATGACATTGGCCAAACACCCCCCCCCTCTCCCTCCAACATTCAAGAGGCCCTCATTAACAAACTAAAGTGTTGAGACCCAGTGAGGCTTTCGTGGGCAAATAAAAGCATTAAGATTGTAATAATTACTGTTATGGAGGGATCAAGTGGCGCAATGGATAAGCGCGCCGCGCTATTAAAACGCAGCGTGGGTAAACATCAGCGGCGAGTGATATGTGAACAGGTCCCTGGGTCTCTTCTCTCCAACCTCTCTCCAACCTTCACCATCTCACCGACCCTCGCCGGGCCAGCGTGGCGAGTTCCGAACAAACAAAACCTCCAAGAACCGACACGGCACCGGGAAGGTTCGCCTTCATCCAGCAAGTGGCTTTGGACACAGTAATGGAAAATGAAATCGCGATGATCGTCGTCGTCAGCAGCATCATCGCACTCGGTGTGCTCTGCGGAGCCTTCTTACCTCTGGGACTCGATCGCAGGCTCCAAGTGGCACACTTTATAAACGCGGACGGGTTGTCAATTGCGCACGGACTGTGGCAGATGCTGCTGCTGTTGCTGCTGCTGCTGCCGTGCCCTCGCCTCCCGCACCGCCTGCTGGTTCTTGAACTGCACCAGCGCCAGAGTGATCTGCGCGTTCCACCCCGTCTCGTCCAGGCAGCGGAAATCGATCTCCTTATTCTCGGCCGTCACGATGGTGAAGTACACGTACTTGCCCTTGCGTTCCACACAGTCCAGCGTCTTGATGCTGGCGAAGGGCAGCTCCTTGGCCGAGCCACCACCACCAACACCACCAGCACCACCAGCACCAGCACCCGCGACAGCTCCACCAGCGCCAGCTGTACCACCACCGCCACGCCGGGGCCTCATGAACCCCTCCTCGGCGTCAGAGATGCTGAGGCCCTCCGGGGTGAGGACACAAAGCTTCTTCTTCCACAGCTGCAAGAAGTTGTCGCTGCGCTTTTCCAGCTCGCCCTCCTTGATCACCTGCCGCGGGTCCATGGGGACCGTGTTTCGCATCCTCCTCTCGCGAGGTGGACGGTGCAGTCGACGAGGGGCGGATGACGAGGGGCGGACGACGAGGTGCAGTCGACGAGGTGCAGTCGACGAGCTCAATGAGGACGTCGAGCGCTTGGGACCCCCCCCCCCCACCGCGGGCTCCCACCCAACCTCGGCCCCCCCCACCACCCCCAACCCGGTCCTCTCGCCCTGTCTATCGGATCTGTCTTGGGGGCCTCCGTGTGACCAGGGGTCTCTTCCTGCTGAGCTCGAGAGCGACGGGCTGACGTCCTCCGGTTGACACCGTCTGGTAGTGCCTGGGCTGCTGCTGCTGGCGTTATCTTCACGGTGTCTTCGCTGTTGAGAACGATTCCGAAAGCAGCGGTGAAAATAATTACTTTAACCCCCCCCCACCACCCCCACCCCCCAAATAAAAAAATATATGAAATATAGCGGTAATGACAGTCCGAGGTTCGGTCTAGAAATCAAAAGAACAAAAACACACACACACACAAGCCCCAGTCTAGGGCAAGCAGATGCCGTGAAATATCCGCTTGGCGAGCAATGTTAATGCATAACGACCATGTGGATGATACGCGTTGTTCAGCGCGGGGTGGGTGCTGTACGGGGAAGGGCAGGCAAGCGTTGGGCCCCCACACACACACACACACAGCTACAGCTACAGCTGCTGCTACTGTTGATGCTGCTGCTGACGACGCCCGGCGTTGGCTGTCAGTAAAGCTGTGCGTGGCGAGCGGCGCGCCTCTTTATACGAGGAGCCCCCTCCCCCCACCCCCACCCACACCCCCACCCCACACCCTTACCCCCACCCTCACCCCAGCCCCACAACACCCCCCACCCTCACCCCAGCCCCGCCGCAAAGTGATGACGTCACACGTCGCCCAACCCCGCTTCACCCACGCGGCCCCCCCCCCCTCCATCCCGAGCTGGCGCGAGCGCCCCCGCACGCTTCCGATGTGAGAATTACCGCCAGCGACAAATCCCGGCAAAGGTGCCATCGAGAAACTCTGCAGATGTTTCTGCTGCTGCTGCCAGTGCAGCTGCACTACACGAAGAATAAGTGTGCAGCAGCAGGAGCAGCTGTTGCTGCTGCTGCTGCTGCTGCCAGTGCAGCTGCACTACACGAAGAATAAGTGTGCAGCAGCAGGAGCAGCTGTTGCTGCTGCTGCTGCTGCCAGTGCAGCTGCACTACACGAAGAATAAGTGTGCAGCAGCAGGAGCAGCTGTTGCTGCTGCTGCCAGTACAGCTGCACTACACAAAGAATAAGTGTGCAGCAGCAGAAGCAGCTGTTTCTGCTGCTGATGCTGCTGCCAGTGCAGATGCACTACACGAAGAATAAGTGTGCAGCTGCAGGAGGAAGCAGCAATTGCAGCTGTACACAAATAATGTGTACAGCAGGAGCAATCAGCAGCTGCACTCACAAATAATGTGTGTGCAGCAGCAGGAGAAAGCAGAAACTGCAGCTGTACACAAATAATGTGTGCAGCAGCAGGAGCAATCAGCAGCTGCACTCACAAATAATGTGTGTGCAGCAGCGGGAGCAAGCAGAAACTGCAGCTGTACACAAATAATGTGTGTGCAGCAGCAGGAGCAATCAGCAGCTGCACACACAAATAATGTGTGTGCAGCAGCAGCAGGGGCAAGCAGCAGCTCCCGTGCAGCAGCAGGAGCAAGCAGCAGCAGGAGCAATCAGCAACGTTGCCATCTCGTTGTTGGGTATGATCTCCCACAAAGAGACTCCTCCAGACTTTCCGGCTCAGAAACAACGTGTGTGTGTGTCAGTGGCAACGGCGTCGTGCCTGATGGCGATAACCCCATCACGGTCACCCACAGAACAGACGATTATCTGAACCGGTTCTAGGTCGACTCAGCCTCAAATGAGGACTGTACCTGGTGCGGTGTGTAAACATCGCCACTGGGGAGACAAAGGCGGCCGGGCGTGGTGCTGGCCGCCCAACCCCCCGCGTGCCGTGTCGGCCTTCATAGGTGCTGCTCGCTAACTACACTTGCCCCATGAGTATGTGTTGTTTAAGGGGGGGGGATATTTGTATATGTATACGACAGTTTCCGATTTGGTTAAATGAGCGCGGTACTAAAATAAACCAAGAGCTTGGGATAGTCTCAATAATTTTGCAATGTGAACAACTCCCATAACCCATTAGAAACCACCAAATCAACAAGAGTTGTTGAGAAAATGTGGCCAAACCAACAGGCGGCGGTGAAGCAAAGATACAACTTGGTGTGAACTCGCCTCGTCATAATTAGGACTCACCGATTAATCTAAAGACTAGACGTTGTGACTGTTCTATAGGAGACAGAGGCTGATCGGCAGCCAGGCTGCGCGAATGTGGAATTCCCTTCCACCTCGGTCCATTGCGGGAGACCGAGAGTCTAACTCGTAGCGGGCTTTCGCGAACAATATTATTAATAATAAAGGTTTTTGGGTTATAGCCGCGTAAGTTTAAATGTGTCGTAACCCTCCACCGCCCGACACAGCCAATTAGTAAGGGATTTGTCACGTAAACAAAACGCCAATTAGTTACTACTTCAGTACTCAGATTGTAAATGTTGTGGATTTACTCTCCAACACACCGGTGGGCTGAAGTAGTCACTAATTGGCGTTTTGTTTACGTGACAAATCCCTTTTGCTATTGGCTGTGTCGGGTGGTGGAGGGTTACGACACATTTATACGTACGCGATCTAACCCAAAAACCTTTATTCTGAGTCCGAGTCTGTTACAATTTTTTTTTTAAATTCTCGTCTTCAAACTCGCCTGTCTTCACAACAGGCTTTCTCCGTAACTCACACTCTATGTGAAGCGCTCTGAGGCCTTGCGCAAATTGTGCTATCGAAAACCGAGATGCTTATGATTATTATATTTAAATCTTCGCTGCTGCCATATGCCTGTGGGAGAGCCCCTTATATGGAGATGGCTTGTTACCTCTACACTATGGGGACCTATTAGCACTTGCCTGAAGGACACGATAATTCAAATCTGTAAATGTTTCCGTTGTGATGTGTTTACAGATCCGAATTATTGCCATTGCTGTTGATGGTTATGCTGTTGTGTTAATCATGCTGATGATTGATAAATTACGAATTGAAGGTGATGATGGTGTGTTGATAATAATTTGTGAATTACCGCTTGATATAAATCACTTCATTACTGTACTGGCGATTCGTTAGTGATGACAAAAATTTAAGATAAGACGACATTTCTAAGTCTTTAATGGTAATGTTTGAGCACGATGATGATGATGATGATTAATGATAATTGAAGAAAATAGAGATCATGATTCATTTTAATTGAGGATCATGTGTCAATGATTTGTAAATTACCGGTACACATTGCCATTGCGCTTGCTGATGATTATAATGGTGTACGATAATGCTTGAATAACGTCGTGGTGATGATGATGACGATAGTTGATGCATGAATGATGTCTGACAATACACTTATGATGGTGATGCGCAAATGACCGCGAGAAATTTATGTTTGCTGCTTCTGCTGCTGCTGTTGCTGTTGGTGATGATGATTCAGTGTTGAAAATGATTGTGCATTTATGATGAATTAATTATGATGATTACGTGTGAATTACTCACAAGACGTAATTCTATTGCTGCTAATGATGCTGCATATGATACATTGGTGCCAATGATGACACATTGCTGATGATTTAATGATCATTATATGATATCGAGTACTAACCTTTTGCCCGTCCAAGGACGGTGTGTTGCAGTAAATCTGAAACTTGCAAGCGAAAATCAGACCGCGACGTGATATTCATTGCATCAATTCGTGTGCAATGTGTAAGGGCGCGGTGACACAGACCTATTTCATTTTAAGGTTATAATCCCTTGTTCATCATGACGTCCTTTTTACTTTGATGTCTCAACAGCGTCACGGAGATCACGTGACGTGAGGGTTCTGCCTTTGTAGTGAGGGTTGTGAGTTGACGCCGAGGAGGGGGGAGGAGGCACCTCGCCCCCCATGTGGTGTGACGTCAGCCGCTAATTATTATTAATGGGGGGGGGGTTTCATGCGGAGTGACGTCACCTGCTCATGATTATTAATGAGGGGGGGGGGTCCATGTGGAGGACGTCACCTGTTCATGATTATTAATGAGGGGGGCTGGTCGACGTGGAGTGACGTCACGCGTGGGACACAGACATTCTTGGCTCATTATAGTCGTAAATTGCTACGACTGCTGCTGATCATTATGATGCAATGATGCTAATGATGATGATGATGGGTGTCGATGACAGATGGCTATAACTATTGCCCATGTGTCCATTACCAAGTATCATATATATAGTCATCGGTTTCAACGTGTCATCAATACCCGGGGCGATTATTAATGTATCAAGTTCTCTGTACACGATGACTAATATCAATGTACTGTATGGTGTAGTTTGTAAAAAAAAATCCATTTGCAATATAGATCTGTGTAGTCACTTGTCACGTACAAAACGCTCTTTGCGTTATGGATAACTGCACGGGTATACCAAGCTGCTCTAGAGATGAGCCGCTAGGTCGTGAGCAGATAGAAATACAACAATGAATTCTTGACTCCATCTGTGCGGAGCTTTGAGTCCTACCCCCTCATATATGTGGTGAGGGTTTTTTTGCTTGTTCCGGCCACTCAAATGTCGCCAAACATCCTCATTTAGGACCGTGTTTAAATAGTCCCCAGACTCAAGTGTTGGCTTTGCTGGTTAAATTGCCACTATTAAAATAATAATTGCCATTATTGTTGTTGATAAATAACAAAAATTGCGTTCAATTTAAACACTTCGTGATGTAGACAACACTGCGTAAGACCAGTGGGCACACACGATGGATTGCCTATCCTTTCGAAGGACGACGTCACGTGGGTTCTCACCTGGTTAAATAAAGGATTGGCAGACGCGGAATGAATGAAGAGTGAATGAACGGTTGTGACGTCGACCATGTTTTGTGCACGTGCAGTACACCTGTTTGTGCAGGGGGTTTCATGCGGATGTGAGCTTTGTGTGCGGGTGTGTGCAGATGTACCCTGGGTGTTTGCGAGCACCTATTAAGGCCGGAACGTTGCTTAACTAACAGCACTTATCCCCAAGTCGAACCTGTTAAAGGCGACACTGGGGATGTTAGTCTTTGTACGTCATTGTTAACGGTTAGTGACAACCAAAAATGGTCCGTATTAAGACGACTTTGCTCAGTGTTAAATCTACAAATGGTCAGTAAAAAAAAACGGTAACTATAGGAGCTATGTATCCACCTCTGTTACTCTGTATCCTGTAACACTATGCCATATACTTACGTGAATACATGACAGAGCTCGATGGTCAGTGTTAACCTTTCCTTAAAATAGGCCCTGCCCGAGTGTGAATGGCTGTGTGGATAAACCTGTATGTAATGAGGGTCGGTGTGTGGTTAGCGCAAATGCACTACAAATCCGGTGACCTGGGTTCGACTCCTGGCCACAGTAAACATCGGCGATGAGTTATATATAGGAACGAGTCCTAGGCCATCCTAAGGTCGACTCAGCCTTAAATGAGTTTCTGGGCAGATATGTAAACATGAGCACCAAGGAGACACGTGGGCGTTGTGTCAACACCACCCCCATCGCGCACCGTGCAGGCTTTGATCAGTGCTCGCTAAAAGCACCTGCCTCAATACAGAAAGTAGTCTATCTCTGGGACCCTTTTTTG